GCACTTTGTAGGCATACATTTTCGAACGTAAGCCTACAAACTGTGTTATTATTTTCGAATTTGCCTCATCTTTCATCATTCCCAAGACTTTTTTATTCACTTGCGGAATTCCATACGGGTTGTCAGAAGGGTAGTCGGATGTGTCGGATTTGGACAAGTTATCTTTGATAAGTTCCGCATATACATCATCACAGCCAAGTTCGTAAATAAACCTATCGGTGTCTATATACATTAACTTACATTTCTCCACCCCCATTGTTGCAAGCATAAAATCGTAATGGAAATTATACATACACGTTTTGGATAAATCCAAAATTGCCATCCCTATGTATAGGGGTTTGTTGAAGACTATTTCAGATTTAACCAATTCGATAGCAATCAGATCGTCGCTCAAAATCGTCCGGCCACGGAACTTTGAGCTGGCGATCATATTTTTAGCCCCATAGAGTCCATTCCACGATCTACATAATTTGACGACGCGATGTTTACGGATGTTTTCCATCGTCTTTCCAAACACGGCATTATTCATAAGTTTATATAGGTTTTTTTCGAATGTGTTGGTGGCTGCAGCCCTCAATCCAGTATTCAGATCAATGTAGGGCTTCAACGACGTAGACTGTTTAGATTTCGCTACTCTGTGAATTTTGGTAAGCTCCAAGCCATTAGCCAGAGCTTGTTTCGAATTAACATGATGGATGATGTATTCCTTTTTATGGTGTAACGTGGTCATCAATTTTGCCAACTTGAAACCAGGTGGCTTGCGGTGTTCGGCACAGAACGAGAAGTCTCTATAAAAATCGTGCAAGTTTTCCGGATATTCCAAATCTACTTGTAAGATATATCCTTCTGGCGCATCGTCAGGGATCAATGTGACGTCAATGTTGGCATTGGTCCATTCAAACCCGCCATAAGGGAGGGGCTTTGACATTGCCCATCCATACAGATTGTTAACGTCCAAGTAGAGAAGATGCTTTGGTGGTTTAGTAGGATCATATGTTGAAGTATACTTATGGTTGGCTTCAGAAAAGCGGTTACAACAAACCGAAATACCGCCTCTTATCGCCTCAAACATCAGCATGTCAACTTCTTTTAAAATTTGTAACGAACATTTTGTATACTTCAGCATGCAATCCAACGTAAAACCTGGAAGGGTGTAATACCAAGACGAATCTAAGGTATAAGTCCTCAAAGCAGCTTCTCTGAATTGTTCGAAAACATCTGCCAGAAGAAGAATATCTGTTTTCATGTATAAATCTGAATATTCACCTAAATTTGGACATCCAAATTGTTGCCATACGTTTTGAGCATGAGCGTACTTCACATCATCGATATTTTCATCGTTCAATTCATTATGAAAGCTCTCAATGGGTGGAAGTTCAGTTTCGTCTAATTTGCTCGGACTATTGATGTGGTCATATGGGGAAACACCTTTCTTTGTGAGTAGATCGAATTTGGAAGCGTCTAATTGGTCGAATTCTTTTCCTAAATTCTGGAAGCTATCCTTCGTTAAATTGGATGCCAATTCGTCTAAACTGGCACCCAGGAATCTCAAAGATTCGATGAATCTGAATTGAATACCGGTTCCAGAGTTGTGTTGGGTGAAAGAAATGTATTTCCCCATATTCATCGGAAGTACGCTCACCTGTCCACGTTTGGCAATCTCTCTCAGAAGGAAATGAGAATCATATCCGGAAAAATTGTGGAACATTATGGACACTACGAAGGACTTGCGGTACCCCAAATTACAAGATTGATGCGCCCACCCTCTGAAGGCGCCAGTGAAATGATGGTGGTCTTTTACAATGATATCAGTGCCCGCAAACGCCTTTTCACAGATATGGCAGTGTGTTACACCAACCTTATCTGGGAAATGAGTCAGAGGAACAATGTCTCTGATTTTAGACTGTACGAATTTCGCGCCATCTGCCATTTCTGTGGCAAACCAATCCATGCAATCAGGACCTCGATGACTCTTGTGATAGGACAAGCTATCATCATATGAGCATTTGAAATAGTACCCTGCGCTGAAGGCTGTGTGTTTCTGATATTTCGCCATTTTTTGAGAAATTTTGTTATCACAGTGCTCCAAG